TTTTCTTGTTTTAAAGGGTCTGCACTTTAAATAATAATAATTAAAAAAAACAATATGACAACATGACATGCTTTAAAAAAACATTTCAATGAATTAATTTTTTTTCATATTATTTTAAAGTATTGTAATTAGTTATGAAAAGATATTTTGCAATTTTGTTTGTTTTATCTGATGATGAGTTGATTTTATATAATTGTCCATTTGTCAGTTAAGAATTTTCAGCCACTACCAGCATTCCAGGGAAACAAGTGGCAAAATGAACCGATGATAACACTGATCCTCGGCTTTGGACTGGTTCCTTAATATCTGTCATACTCACAAAACACCCAAACAGCCTCTTTACTCCCACCACCTACCATGGACATAAGCCCAAACAGGCCCAACTCCCAAATGATACTCTGCAAACACAACCTGGCCTCTCCAAAGAAATCCAATCCGTCTTTTGTCGCCAAGTAGTAAGTGGTAGTTGAAGACAGATCTGACATTTAGCTGGCTCGTCACCTCAGAAAGGAGGGAATGCCTGTTCTGATTTCTGCTGTTTCTTATGACAATGAGACTAGTCTTAATAGCCTGGTCTTATTCCAAGGAAGCGAATCATTAAAACAAAAAAAGAAACTGATATGATGGATAGATGGATAGATGGATAGATAGATAGATAGATAGATAGATAGATAGATAGATAGATAGATAGATAGATAGATAGATAGATAGATAGATAGATAGATAGATGGATAGATAGATAGATAGATAGATAGATATGACTGAAATATATCAAAGCCAGCTACAAAAAATAGATAGAAATAAATGACTGAAAGGCTAGTTGCCTATAAAATGACCAATAAAGCTACAGGGACAAAAAGCCTGCAGTTTGCCATATACTGTGCCCACTGACATTTACCACCATCAAAATCCCATTAAGACACTGCTGTCTGATAATGAGTGAACTCTGGAAACTCTCTCACGCAGAAGACAGAGCAGAGCAGCCAGGGAGAGCATGCTATAGTTGATCAAATGCTCTTTAAGTAATCAAAGTAACCCGCTCTACGGTTCTTTCCTCTCTCTCACCTGTCAGGACTGCTCAGATCCCACTCATGACAAATCCCCATGTGATAGATCCTTTTCCCAAACAAAAGCCACTTGAGGAAAGAATGCGAGACAAGCAGCAAGCTGTTTCTGTATTTGCCTTACCCTCTCTTTATTCCTCTGGACAGTTACAGTAATAACGCTTGTTATGTTATAAGGCCAGGGGGATAGAGGAAAAGCAGGAACACATGTTTTATGTGACATACTCGCTGAAATTGCTATTAGCAGTGACAACAAAGAGAAGTGTGTGTTTCTATGTTTAGCTGTCTATGGGCGATGACAGAGGAGCACAACTCAGAGTGCAGACACTTGATAAGCTTGTGAAGACCAGACAGTATTTTTGCCAATCAGATAACAGAACACACCAAGTGCCAATGTAAGTCAATGCAGTTAATTTAACAAATGTCAAACTAATAACTGCAGGTGATCATGTTACAAAAAAATAAAGCAAGCATAAAGTGTTTTAATTTATTCTCTTTTTAGAAAAATCTAAAATGAAGATCCTCTGTCAGTCCTTGTTAAGATTATGTACTACTCATAAAATAACATAACTCAATGTATAAAGAAAATGTGTTATTTCTATGGGTTATTCCTATAAAGGATCTTATTTTATAGTCTTGTCAGAGGAAGAATATGTCTGTCTATACACTGGTCAAACTCAGGCTAGTATAACCTAATAATCCTGACCAAATATTTGGCATTTCACATTCACAATCCACTGTTGCATGTCATATCCATAATGCAGTGTGTAATGGACCATAGCAGAGTGTATGTTTTACGCTAATAAGCTAGGAAAGAACAACATGCTAGGAGAAGATCAACATTTAGATACATAAAATCTATTAAAAAAATAAACAAATATTTTCACATCCAGTATAAATTGACAGGGTGGAGCGGACATAACTGAGGAAAAGAGAGATAATTTAATGACTGATCCTTACTTTTTTTTTTTTTTTTTTAATTGAGAAATAAATCCAAGTACAAAATACAGTATATAGGAATGCTTCACATGACAGATATCACATATATTGAAACATGTTTAAACAAATAAACAGGGATAACAAAAACAAAGGAGAGGAAGAAAAAAAAACACAAATAAAAACTAAATAAATATACATAAAAAAAGCTTAATATTTCTTTATTTTCCTATAGACACTTTTAATGTTCATATAATTTGGTAAACTAAGTAGGGGCATTAATTACAATACGAATACTTCCTCCATAAAGTTTAACAACATTTCGTTCTTTTTTATTTTTAACTAATTTAAGTGACTTCCTCAGCGATTCAATCTCTATTAAAAATATATTACATTTTTGAATGCATTTTGCAAATTTTTGTTTATGGATATAATATTTACCATGCAAAATGAAGACATTCACCACATATTCACACAATTTGCTTCTGTGTGTATAAGAACAAATAACATCTTTCATGATCCTTACTTTGTCCGAGGAGTTGCGTTCCCTCAAATGACGTCACGTTACATGTGATTTAGGGCATATGATCAAGATTTTAACAAGGCGGACTGGAAGTTGAGGGACAAAAACTAATTTAATGTTTTTACACAAAAATGTGTCACGATAAATTGTATGTTATGTCGAAGAGAATAGATAAATGCATATAATAAAATTGTTAAATTATAAATGGTACATATTCACCTATATATAATGCATATGAGTGAATATTAATTATTAATTGTTAATAATCTGACAGAAAGAAAAAAACACCTATATATTCAATTAAAGGAGGTGAAGTCCAAAAAGACTTCGGCTTGTGTTGCATATTGCTTTTAGTTGTTCTGCTAACAGCCTGAAATGAGACAGTATTTCTCTTCAGGCAGGTAATCTTGCTCAAACGCTCGGTCTGTGCTTCTCCTAAATTGCAGAACAATTTAACTCAAGCTATTTGTCAAGCTGTTTAATTAAAGCTATTTAATGCGCTCCCCCTTAAACATTTTACTAAGCTCACTTTACATGCATCGGCATAGGCTGCAGAAGACAATTATTAGGAATTGATTGGTTTGAGGGAAAGATCAAAATAAATCCAGCGTGATTAGACCTGATGTTGTTCATTTTATAATGATCACTTGGGAGCAAACTCAGGATGAATTCAAAACAGCCAATGCTTGCAGTCTGCAATATGTCCTTATATCAAACCAATCTAGCCCAATTTCATTTTTAAAGACTAAACACAGATTTAAGAGAGACTTGGCCTCTCATGGTTGTATTCTTTTAGGTACATATTCTCATTTTTCACCCCGAATGCTTTACATGGCCCTATAAACAGAAAACATGTTGCTGAAACTTTGATCCGGCTGAGGGAACACTTAAAAAGCAGTGCCAATCTGATTTTTCAAGAGAGTTTCCCATGACCAGGTGGCGTCTCCAGTGATGGCGAGTGTATTCAGTATAATCAGTGCCATCAGTGGTGTATGACTCCTGGGGTTTATCTAGCTCTAGCAGATCGAGATTTTGCGGCTGCTTCTCTCTGCCTGTGTGACTGAGGGAATCATTTCAGCATCATTTCAGTTGAAGATGGGCTACACATAATGATGGTAGCGTTTATCTGAACCTCAACATATACTTCCTCACACCTGAACAAACACTCACATACACATTCACATTATCCCTTTGTGTGATAGAGAATTATCTTGGTGTGCGTGTAGACAATAGGCCTTGAGCGAGTAAAGTGTGTTTGTATTTTGGCACAGATTGTGGTTATGGATGACTGCTAGTCACAGACATAGCATGGACTCATGGTTAGATGTGCTGGAAACTTTCTCACGTTCTTAAGCCTCCATAGGAACAATTCAGAAAGAATTTTTAAAACAAAGAATTGTTAATAAAATGGTAAAACATATAAATAGATACAAAATAAGTTCACAACTATACATTACATGTGGTTGTAATGTGCAGAACAAAATTACTCGCCAGCGTTTTGACTGTACAAATGAATTTTAATCCTCCGAGAGACACACTATCAAAGAGCAAAATGCTAATAATTGCACCATTTTATAGCCTATTTAGAAACAAGAGCAAACATGGGGAAATTAGGCCTACATAAAACCCAGGGGCGGGTCTAAGGAGGGCTAGGAGGGCCGCGCACCTATACTATCCGCAGGATACTAAGCTAGCCTACATTTTATGTGATATACATGTTTAAAAATATATCGAACATTAAATATGTTTAGTTGCACACGTGAATTGTATTTCTTTCTATTATGATATTATATTTCTATATTTAGAAATTATATATCTCAGCTCTCCCTCACAGACACACTCAGCACTTTTTATCTTTCGTTCTTTGCAGGATGGCGCCCGCTCTACACCACTTTTTCTGAGCAGTTTAAGTCTTCCGACCACCTCGGTTGCATCCGAAATCACATGCCCCAAGTAGGTGAAAAACAGAATGTGACAAACATTTCCAAATTAACTGTACTCATGTAGGCAAAAAGTACCCGGATGACCTACTACTTCTGGCGAGATTCTTAAGTATGCATATGATGCACTTTCATATATATTTCAAATATATTTAAAAAAAAAATAGGCCTATTATAATTTTGGATTTTTTGGATTTTTTTTTTTTGGAATATTTAATTTGAACATTTCCCTTGCCAAAGATTGATTGATTGAATTTTCTACAAAATATGATTAATTTAATATATTCTTGGTTCTTATACTACAACACATTTTGCACATTAAACAGCACTACATGAAAAGATTTTTTTATTCATTCATTCCTTCATTCATTTCTCAATGCAATTAGATAATGGTCCCTGTTGGCAACCATTGAGATACATTAGGACAGAAAGTACAATAATGTTGAACTTCTGTTGCAAACTAATTGCTGGACTTTGCGCGCCCTCGTGTGGAGAAAACATATCGTAGCATTTAGCTCTTTATTTACGGTTGCCAAGTAACACAATTCTTGGAGAAGAGGGATCATACCAGCAAACATTCGCAATTGAAAAATAATTTATAACACTTTGGTCAATATGGCAAAACCTAAAGAAAAAGAGCCCGTGGACATAGTTCACCAGAATGCTATTCATGTCGAGACAATAACGAAGGAGCTGAGAACCCAGAAGCTTTACACGGAGTTTAACATCAACCCCTTAAAGAAACGTGAGTGCAGAGCTTCACACGTCTCTCTCTGTTAACTTTGACTAAATATTTAAAAGAGCCTCTTTGTTTTTTTCAGTGCACATTTTGACTGACAAACCCATGTCCAACATCACCTACAGAAAGGAAGAGGAAGACTGTAAGTATTTCAATAACGTTACATTTGACGTAGCAGAATTTAATGTTAGCCTAGTTGCCGCCAAAACTATAGTTATGTTAGAGCCACAAAATATAACCATATAATTCACATACAAGTCGTCCCACTCATTTAAATTCTAAACTGAAGTTCACACTGTAATTTCGGGAGGAGTGAACCCATCTAATCTTTCAATTAACAGCATAAGCCGCAGCTCACCATGGTGGCATCAGCTGTTTTGGCATCCCTCCACATCCACCAATATAATTCACAATTCTATATCTAAACTCAAGTTGAAGAGCTCGAGCTCCTCCACTGCGGACAGCAAGCCAAGTAGCAGGCAAGGAGCTTGTGAAACTTAACTAAATATGTAAAGTGTATTGAAAAAATCTTTTTGTACAGCTGCTTTCCTCCAGGCCATACACGGGGCCCGCCTGGAGCCAACAAAGAAGTACTCTCACCCTCAGACTGAAGCACAAGAGATAGGATGGATATCCACCCCTTTAGTAAGTATCTATCTATCTATCTATCTATCTATCTATCTATCTATCTATCTATCTATCTATCTATCTATCTATCTATCTATCTATCTATCTATCTATCTATACATCTATACATCTTAAAATAGTCATTAATGTTCTCTTATTGTTTGGCTCAAGATATTTAGATTGTATATTAATATTTAGGATACAAATTAGATGTATTTACTGGTACTTTCAATACGGTTAAATTAGTTTACATTTGTTTGCATGAATCAATGTGTTAATATTATTTAATAGACCTAAGTTAACATAAACTAACATGAACATGTTAACAAAGATTAATAAACACTGTGACAAATTGTATTGCTCATTGCTAGTTAATATTTAACTAACATTAACATGTACATAAAAAAAATCTTATTTTAATTAATCTGCTAAATCTGGCAGTTTTTGCTTCCAAAGCTAACTGCTAAATAACATTGGTTACACTTTAGTTCAGGGTCTAATTGTCATTACATAAACTAACTGCTTATTAGCATGCATATTAGTAATTTAACTGTTTATTAGTACTTAGAAAGCACATATTGATGCCTTATTCTGCATGACCTTATTCTACATCCCTTAATCCCACCTAATACCTAAACTTAAACAACCTTACTAACTATTAATAAGCAGTAATTAGGAGTTTGAGGCAAAAGCTGTTGTTAATATTTAGTTAATAGTGAGAATTGGACCCTAATCTAAAGTGTAACCGGTTTGTTTTTTGTTTTTTTGTAATTGACAAACCCCATAGTGGATTTACTCCCAATTTGCATATTATAGTATACCCAAGATTACAGTATGTATGTACTTTAACCATCAGCTGTAAAGTATAAAATTTAAAACATCTTTCGTAATTATCCTACTAATCAGCTCTTTTGTGCAACACTTCAGCTTGTCTCAGATCGCAGTGACAGAAGATTAAACTTTCCACGGCAGAACTCTGAAATCACTAAATACATGGATGCTGCCTGGCGGTTGAAGGAGCAGACAAAAAATTTGGGATGACACGACAGTTTAGGCTATATTTTCCTGATGCCATAGGAATAATGCAGATAAACAAGTCTGAATACATCTGTGAGCACTGCAAAGTGAGCATCCTATGTCATCACAATAAACACTAAATGTACAAATACTAATGTGTTCTTACTATAGCAAGGCAGCTCATTCGATTTGAAGACACAGCCGGTGTGTTTAGAATTTCAGTCGTGTATCTGGAGATATGTAAAAGTGGGTCAAATGGCCACCATTCATCACTATGAATGTAACAGCTCCTGTCTAGCAGAATCTCATAGTAAGCAAAAGAGATTAGTTCATATCTAATCGATCTTAGATAATGTCATATTATACAGAAACAGGATTCACACAGCTTGTTTTGCAAATATGCCTTTTTCACAAGAAAAATCCATAACTGTGACCATAATCCACTGGCTATTGGAGCTTATTACACTTAAAGTATTGGCCACTCAGGGCAAGATTTATTACATTACTTCCCCAAAAAGAAATACAGCTCTTTATATAAAGATACAGTCATATTTTTGTTGCTTCTTTCTCAATGCTCAGTGTGTTGTAAAATATATTTTTAAGTGCTTAATAAGTTTAATTTTTTTTTATCTAAACATATATTCGTTTTTCTCAGTCGCTTTGGTACATATCTTGAATCATTCTTAAGATTTGCAAGTGCATTTCTCAAAACAATTCGTACAAACAGCACCACACAATGGATTACCAGCAAAAGCCTGTAACTTACTCAAAATCCTTAGTTCATCTCTCAAAAGTAAGTATGTCAATGAACATATCAGTGCCATCAGAATGACAAGTCCTTGTGTCATTGTTCACAAACAAGATAGTCAAAAATGCTTAGTCATGTTGTCATTATAACAGTGTGTTGGTATTTTCAGATTTAAAACTAGGGCTACGATTTTGATGACAATGACTGAAAATGTAAGATATTAATTGCAAGAGACTGCATGGACAGGATTCAGTAAAATTTTTACTTTTGGTCAGTCAACAAATTATGCAACAAATAATGCTATATTTCAGTTGTCCACTTTATTCATTACATATACCGTACTTTATAGATGCAAAATGAAACACACACATACACACAGATATACATACAGATATACGTGTGTGTGGTGTGTGTGTGTGTAACATGACGTCTCTATAAAGTATATTTACTGTATAATGTAAAATACAAGAGGACTAATGTAGCATTACAGTAAGTATTACAGTATAGTGAACATTGCATACCTATTTTGTCTACAGATGTTTGAATGATTGAGGACATTGTGCTTTCAACATTCGGCTGTATCTTTTAACCCGCTTCGTCTATATTATAAGATAATAATAATAATCCATTACATTTATATATGATGGTAAAGTCAACTAACATACAGTAGACAAATCGAATAGCCTAACGTGAGCTTTGAAGCCATTTGAGTGCTACCCTATATCTCTGGTGAAAGAGAAAGTCAATCTACAGTATGTGTTTAGTCTGCCTTCATAAAATAGGTTCCCAGGCCAGTCATGAGCCTTCGTCAGTGCTGACTCATCATCAATTAGCACAGCTGCACCAGTGGAACATGGTAATAAAACACACCAATCTGCCCAAACACATACAACAAAGGAAAAAACAAACATAAATTGGTCCCTCAACTAACAGCACTGGGTCCTTGTAATTTTAGAAAAGATGTCTTCACCTCAAAGCAAAATGCATTTCATTTCTGATGAGACAGCAAAGGGTCCTGTGTTAATACAGATATTAGCCATACTCTCAGCTTCTGCTTGCTGGTGAAGACATTCCATGCAACCAATCAACAGACAGCCTTCCAAACTCCACAATACAGAATGCATATAGTCCAACAGAAACATTTCAGTAAAGATACAATTTAACTAGCTTATTATTGGCTAACATTTGTATGTTTCAGGAATGCATTCAGCATTGCTATTAGGTTATGGAAGATATTTTCCAAAAGTTCTATCAACTTTCAAAACGTCCAGTTTTTATACATGATAACACTGTACAAACTTGCTAAAACATTAGTAGAATGTTCCCAGCTTACTTTCTTTAAAGTCACCCTGAAATCAAATTATTTTGTTTTAAATTCATGTGCCTTGGTAATCAAAATAACTTCCCCTCTCACATGCAGTGACATCTCTTCTCTAATGATGTGTTTTGTAGAACATTCTGTCACTAATATGACATCACAGCAATAGCAAACTACAACAATCCAACGATCAAATTGATTCCTGATGGACAAAATCAGCAAGCCATTTTACTCAGATATATGTAACAATAATGAGGAAAAGACTACATTAAATGTCAGTTTCAAGCTGACATTACGTAAATAATATTTTCGGTTCCAAAGTTACGGAAATATTACTTCTGTGAATGTTCAAAACGTACATTTTATAAATGTTTTATGAACATTTTTTGGTTACACGAACATTGTATTAGCAAAATGTTAGTAGAATGTTCCCTTTTTATGTTCTAAGACCATACAACCCGATCTCACGAGAATTCGTACGAATTTTACGAGGTGGCTAATTCGTAACAATTCGTACAACCTCACCCCTTGTACGAAGATTTTTGCTACATCGTACATATTTTACGAATTGGCCAATTCGTTTGAATTCGTACGAATGACCTACCCCTGACCCCGCCCCTAAACCTACCCATCACGTGGGTTTGGACAAATCGTACGAATTCGTACGAGTGAGGTCGTATGAATTAGTACGAATTAGCCACTTTTTAATCACGTGAGATAGCGTAGGACCATAACATTCCCAGAGGATGGTTCAAGACATCAGGCTGCAATTGTGAGTTAGATTTGCTAAGGGAAAGGCAAAAGCATTAGAATAGTCCTTTTTTTTTTTTTTTTTTGACTGCATAATAACCCCTGAAAGCTGGACTTCAGTTCAGACACCAGTTTAGTGTGTGATGCTGCCCACAGATACAGCAAATAGCTTTCAGGTACAGTCAGCAACCCTCAACTTGCAATTTCCATCGAGACAGAGATGATGCCATAGAGCCTGACACTGTCAGTGGTCCAAACTCCAAAGTCATGTAAGATGAACTAATCATCCCAGACACGATCTGATCCTGCTCAACCTGACTGCGTTCCTAACTTTAGTGGGCTATTGAGATCTGTGTCCGTCGCTCAGAGGCACAGATACATATTAGAATACAGAAGAATGCCTGCTTTTAATACTTTTCTATTATAAGAAAAAAGCTGCACAACCTGCTGTGAAAAAAACACACACCGTAATATAAGGTTGTATTGTAAAACAACAAATGCCCCAGTGTGTAAATCTTCAATTTGATATGTTGAAAGATAGCCCTATGCATTTTTTCCCCTCTGTCATCATATTTCTCATATCAACACAGTCCCAAAGCAAAACCTTGTGAGAATGTTGTGATGTTTGAAACCAGTAGTATCTGAATTTGAGTCTGCGAGAACTTTTTTTAAACGCATACACTTAAATGTTTCAGTGACTAACTACAGCTGATTCATTATTTAAGACACTTTCAGATAAAAGGGAAATGTGGCTTAGTAGAGATCAAAATGCAATAACTAACATGAACAAACCACGAGCAATATTTAATATTTGTTAATGTTAGTCCAGCTGTTCATCGTTTGTTCATGTTAGTTCACGGTGTATTAAAAAAATACAAGCTTTGATTTTAATAACGTATTATGTTGAAATTAATAACTAAGATGAATACATGCTGTAGAAGTATTGTTCATTTTTAGTTCATGTTAACTAAGGTAGTTAATGAACCTTATTCTAAAGTGTTACCAGAATATCTACAGTATGGCAAGAGCTTTTTTTCAGTCTGCTGTGTTCTTTCCTCCTGATTACTTTCTGTTTTCCTTTATATTCCACTGTAAATGTATGAAAAAGACAACATATACTGTGCATTTGTGGTCTGTTCCTGATTTAATTTACAAAATAGCCCATGAATAATTCACTGGAATGTACAAAGTATTGCTTGTTTTTTTCCCCAAATCCTCACGTCTCTTTCCTGGTTTGTTTTCGGATGCTTTTAAAATGTAATTGCCTCCCCTTTTCACTTCTAATACCAATAAGCATTGTTTATTGGAATGTTTCTAAATCCAGTAAATACAATATTGTCTGTCAAAATGATGGAAACCACTTTGAAATATTATCTCTTAATGTTCCAGTTAATTAACATTGTTAATTAAGGCAACGAGTTACATAATACAGACAGGCCTATCCTATTACTAGTGATTATTCAGTCTGTGCCAGTAATTTTTTAATGCTTTTACACTTTTAAATGTCCATTTAATGTTCGATGGTTGAAGGCTTAGTAGAATAATGTCATATCACTGTACCTAGTTTTTGAAAATACTTATTATTGAGCAAATCTTTTGCTGATAGTTTACAGTTTAACAGAAGTTACTCCCATAATTCAGCAAAGTGTCATAGGCCTGGGGTCACCAAAGCTGCATTTATTTGAACAAAAATATAATAGTAATACTACTGAATATTATTGCAGTTTGAAGTAACTGTTTATTTTATTTGAATATATTTTAAAATGTAATTTATTCCTGTGATGGCAAAACAGGATTTTCAGCAGCCATTATTCCAGTCTTCAGTGTCACATGATCATTCAGAAATCATTCTAATATGTTGATTTGGAGCTCAATAAACATTTCTTATTATTATCAATGTTGATAATAATCAACAGCCCAACAGATGGTCTGCCTTATATATTTAAACTGATATATATATAAAAAATCAGTATTAGAAACTCCAAATGCAAATGCAGTGTGTTTAATAAATCAATGTAAAGGTACAAAATCAAAATCAAATCAAAATCAGAAACTAGAAATCCAAGGAACAGAACTAAGGACACAGGACAAATACATCCATACATGGAAGACCATAAAAAAGAAGAAACACTAGGGATTAAATACACAAATGCTAACAATCTAACATGTCAAACTTGGGAAAATCAAGACTAATAAATAGGGGGAACCAGTGAACTAAAGGACATCCAAAGACTACAAACATGGCACAAGGAACAGGAAACACTTCAGCATAAGTCCATGGGCAAACCAACAAGACATCACATGTCATAATTACTGCAATTCTAAGATTTCAACT